GAGAGAAACGACTACGTACTTAATAAATTATTGATAGATGGCGCTCATATGTTTTTTTTGAATTCAAATAAACATAGCAACATTTGTTTGTATTCAAAAATTTTCTGAAGTGTCACTTTAAAAATCCTGTTTTTAAGATCAATTACGAAAATTTTGAAAAGTTTGACATGTTAGAATGTTACATATTAAAAAATTATTTGTTTTTAAATACCAGAAGTTATCTTCGTATTTAATTGTTAACTTTTTAGATTTTACCTATCGCCCCGTAACTTACAGGAAACTGTAAATTTAATTTCCTCGACGACACTAGATGGAAATTTTATAAAAAAAGTTTATTTTTAGATTTATTCTAAAACAATAGACCTTCCGAACCCTATATTTTTGTAATCAGAAAAAAATAACGAATTTAATAAGCGAATAATCAGTGGTTGTTTCCATTTTAAAAAATGAAAATTGTCATGATATCTCAAAATCTAAAACCGAAAAAATTCTTTTGACTACGTCATCAAATTCTCTGTAAAAAAGTGTCCATATAATGTCTTAGTTATAATACTGCACCTAGAATAATAACGAAGATAATTGCACTTGCTGGTTTTACGATATTTTAAATTTTGGCCTCTAAGGGAAAAATAAAAGACGATAGCGCTATGAGGTTTTCGGCATTAGCAGTTTCTGGAAAAACGAGATCATGACATGTAAGCTACTTTTTTTCTAACTCTTATAGTTTCCAAGTTAGTCTATTCGAACAGCGAATTTGAACCACCCTGTACATAAATGCCATTAAGAAGCCGAGGTACACATGTTAAAAAAAATCAATTGCTAAAAAAGGGTTCTAATTAAAATAACTCAAAAACTAAAAGCATTAGGGTCAATACGTCTTATCAAAGTCAAGATGTGTAGAATCAGAACATACAGTAAAAGCTATATCATTCCATTTAAAATAACATATGTTTATATCAGTACTTCAGTATGGAACACCTGTAACAATGAAAATGTTTTTCATTTATAGTATGGTAAATTTCCCACAACGTTTCTCTAAAGGACAACTATGTATCTCGGCTCCTTAATGTCATTTATCTATTTTGCCGCTTACGTGGGACACCTGTGTATACAGTATGTCCCCGGATCGAGTTACAAAGAGGAAAGAAGAGGACTTATCTGAGCATAAATAATGCGTCGGATATGTTCAAACCACTAAGGCTCACTTTTACCACCTCTAGTTAAAGTGGTTGTTAACTTTAACTAATGGTTAGCGCAAAAATCGGCTTTTACCATCATATTTACCTTGTTGATAGCGCTAACTAATAGTTATTTTCGGTCTATCCGTAACTATCGGTTTGGGGGCCGGGTTAAATATTTACCTCATTGATAAACTTGGTTGAAGGTATTTTAAACCAGATGGCGTAACATAAATCTAACCTAAAATCATAATAAACGCTTACGTTCGCTCAAAACTCCATAATAGTGATTAAAACGGTGTTATTGTCGTGTTATAACAGTGTTACACAACGATAGAATAAAAAATCTTGGATTTCGAAAGGTTTGAAATTGATGAGCAAGAAATCTTGGAGAAAATTAATTATCTATTTCCCATTCGGGGTGGACGCGTAATAAAAGACAGAATAGACCACCATCAAACTGATGAATTTATTAAAAGATTTCGATTATCAAAGGAATGTGTGTTTTCACCACATTTTAGCACAAATTGATAATGACATCAAACCACGAACGAGGAAGTTTTTATTATTTAGGGAGTTTTTATTAGTAGAAGAATTAATAATTAATTTTTTTTTTGAAATTCTGCAATCCCTGTTTCGGCTGTTTCAAATAGATTGTTGCTTACTTTAAGATTTTTTGCTACAGGCAACATATTATTGGATGTAGCTGACTTTTGTGGAATCAGCGAATCAGCTTCAGGTCAATAATAGAAGATTAGTAGTTATCAATTATTTTCGGAACTTATAAAAATAAACTTTATAATTATAAAAAATAATAAAAGAAAACGTTATTTACAATAAATATGCACATTATTATTATTTAAATATCGTCAACAAGTATTTAAAAAATAGATTAACTGTCTTTTTCTTTTTTTAATTTTTTTATCTCCACTTCTTTTTCCTTCTCATTTTCTAACATTAATGTTGTTAACTCTAATCTTTTCTTTAATAACTCATTATAATAGGTATCGTGGGCAGCTTTATTGGACACCACACCATATAAAGCAGATCAATTTTTTATAAATACATAAATACTTTTACTTTTCCTTGTTGTTTGCAAAACCCAAACGTTATTTTCCACGTACTAACGTGGCTATTTTTATTTTCGAGGACATTTTTATCCGCCACCAAGTCAAGTAAAATTGTTATTTCTTCAGGTTAAAAATTTGCCCCCCGAATACGCTTTTCGACCTGATTTGCGGTTTTTATTTTTTCGTGATCGTTAGTTGCCACTAACAGAACTGACACGTTTATGAGAATTACCCACGAATTACCGACCATTACCGACGGACAACAATCTTTTGCACGTAGTCACCAACAGTCATTATAATATTCCCCTAGATTTTTACGTTAACTACTAGATAGCCTATCCATTAGTTAGATCGAAATGGTAAAAGTCGTTTCGCAGTTAACTAATAGATAATCGTTATCCGATAGTTAGACTAACGACCAGTTTAACTAAAGGTGGTAAAAGCGGGCCTAAATCGCACGAACTTTATATTCTAACTATAGAAGTTAATTAATTATTGCCATTTTTATGTAAAAATTATACTTTTCCTAAATTAAAAATTTTACAAGTTCAATTTACGATATGTAACCATAGAAACCCATAAAAGTTACAACTTATGTTAGTGAAAAATATACAGACAAATCAAATTAAAATATGG